ATTATTATTATTATTATTATTGCTATTATTATTATTATTATTGTTAATTATTATTATTAAATCAGCAAAATGAAATTCCATATATTCTTAAAACGAAGTATATCTTTCCCGATAAAGAAATTTCATAATGGAAAAAAGAACTTCTGGAATTTCTAATCGTTTTTTTTTGGTGATATCGACGATACGATAATTTACAGAATGATTGAATTGAAATAAAAATTAAATCTCATCTTAAATCTCCGTAGCATTCCTAGTGAGATTAAGGACGATTGAATTTTGAAATTTCAAAATTAATTCAGGTCGTCCAGAGAAAATGGCTGGTGGAGGAACATCTAATGAAATACTCATAGCATGGTGTCATGTACGTAAAGGTAGACTGTTACAGAAATGGATTAAACGACGTTGTATACTTTACAATGGAACGATCCGTATTGAACATGGTTTTTATTTCATTTCATTTTTCATATCTTATAAATAACTGTCTTTTAATTTTACAAAACTCTTTAAATTTATAAATTTATTGATTTAATCGCATATTTATTTTTTTAGAATTTAACTACAAAAAATTTAATAAATTTTGAAATTTGAAATTTTTTCAATTTGTTCTTTTTTAATTATTTGAAATGTATATTTAAAATATTCAGTGATAATTCGGAGTAGTTGGAAAAGAGTACCAATCAATTTTTTCTTTTTTTTCCCCCCCCCCCAGATGATGCAGATGACGAGATTTTGCTACTCAGTCGATATCGTGTTGACGTAACGGAAGGAAGTCGCGGAAAATATCTTCGTCTTACAGATTCCTCTAACATTTATTTCTTACACTTTGAAGCAATCGGTGAAATGAATCTCTGGCTTACTCGCTTACTTCAGGTATTCTTCTTCTTTTGCTTCTTCAATAATTCTGTGATGGTAAATTCGTAGAAATTTGTTTACTTATTGATTTATTTTTATTCATTAAATTTAAATCACTTTGATATTATAGCTAAAAAAAATAAAAGTATATTGGATATTGCTTACTTTACAAATTTACTTAGTAATTTGATTACTGTCTATGCAATTGTAGGAAATGCGGGTTTATACTAAAATAACCGATATGTTTCATTTTAGACTCAAATGGCACCAAACTGTGATTTAAGTGATCATCGTCTACTGTTACTACCAGATGAATTATTTTCGGTTAGTGTAATTCGCCAAATTATTACGCTAAATTTACGCAGGAATTCATTACAGTTTCGTCCAAACAATCAGGTAAATTTGAAATGTTAATGGAAGAAAGAAACGAAACTGAATTGGAATCCGGATAGAAAACAAACCGGTTCTTATCGATATCAAACTTATCGTAGGAGGATGATTTTCAAACAATTCCATTACTGAGAATTTGAAATTTAACGGTTTAGTTTATGAAATAGGCCATGTTTTTCCACCACACACAGATTGGAGGCCTTAAAAAAAGCTTTGACCAGTAGTTAGTTATGAATAAATTAATCCTAATTAAGTACGAAACGAAAGTTTTGCAATCTCGATCTCAAGAACCACAAATGAATATTACTTCATTTCAAAGCTATAATTACCACAGCAATCACAAACAGGTGTACTAATTCCCACTCCATCCCTGGTTTTCATTTCATTCGATAATTACTGGTATGCACAATATTAACTACAGGTGAATCAACGGTACATATTGACATCTTTTTACTACCAATCTGAAATTGAAGCTTCAGGTTGTTAAATACTAAATATACGTGATATCAAAATGTATTAAGACTTTTAATACTTCCATCAACTGAGACCACGTGGAATCATACGTTGAAATTTTGTCGCATCTAAAATATTATGTCTTTTTATTTAAAAATTTGTCCAAAAATAAATTGAAAGAAAAGTAAACCTTTAGAATTAAATGATTTATTTTGCATTATTGAAAATGTTGAAGTTACAGATTCAAAATCCGCTTCTCGGATGGCTTGATGACGTGGGACGTTTACAATCTCTGCGGTCGCTGAATATTGCTGACAATTCGCTTCATCATTTTCCGATTACAGTAACTCATCTCAATAATCTTACCGAACTTATACTTTCCGGAAATCGCATATCCTATATTCCGGCGCAAATTGCTGAATTAATCAAGTAAGCTAACAGATAAGTAGGTAAAATCAAACGCTGGCTTACAGTACACAACTGCCATTTAGATCTTTGTACAGTATTATAACTACGATAAGTATGTGAATAGAAAGCATACGGTAAAATGAAATAAATGGTGAAACTGACGTTGAAGTCAAAGCCTTCTAATGACTGCATTAGTTTTCAAGGAATTTATGAATTCGAGACGAAAAATCAATCAATCCTTGCGCACTCCTCCTCACTTTTCTTTTTGTTTAAGAAAGAAGAAAATTAGGTCAAATGTGAGTTCACGTAATGTTCCACGTAATTTTCAGTTTAACAGTACTAAATGTTAGCAATAATTGGTTGCAAGCAGTACCGGAAGAGCTCTCACGGTGTATGATGTTATCCAAACTGGATTTAAGTTTCAATCGTTTTAATCAGGCAACTATTCTTGTTTTTCTTAAATTATTCGCTAATTAATGAGTATGTTTTTCAAGAAAAATGTGAAAAAAAGTGTGAATTAGATCGTAGTTCATCTTGAAATAAAAGAAATTGGATGTCGAGTTTCTTCTTTATAATGCAAAATTTCTCAGGTAAGAAAGTATTGCATGGTAAGGTTCCAGAAAAATACAATCTGTTGAGTTTCCATTAAAAGTCAGCGAATCTTCATTTCCGGACTTTTGATAGCTTTCAGATTCCGGATATTTTGTTCACAGTAAAGCGAATCCTACACGTAGAAATGGCTGGTAACAATATTGAAGTTTCAGCGTTACATTCTCTACCTTGTATCCATTCATTGAAAATTGATTTACGTCGAAATGCTTTGACAGGGTTAGATCAGAAACTTTACACTGATAGCTTACAAAGAATAAAAGATTCCTGATTCCTGTGATTCCTCAACGGTTCTAGTAACTAAACGAACTCCAGAAATCTTGAAGAGTATTTTGAACTCTATCATTGTTAGAACCAAACTTCTAGTAGATCTAAATTATTGAATTGACAGTACAATTCACAATTTCTTCATCTATCTCTCAAATAGGATAAATGCGACAAATCATTATTTGTGATAGCATAGTTGATCAGATTATTTAGTGAAGTGCACATCTTGAGACAAAAATTAAGGATAGAGACAACTTCGCCAGCTTATCTTTTGAATCTTTGATCTAAAATTTAATTCAAATAAAATAACTATATTTATAGCACAGTACGTTTTACTTCATCTATTTGTTGTGCATTAACGGAATTAGATATTCGTGATAATGAAAATTTGTTCGAATTGGATTTAAGTAATTTACATACTATACAGGTATTTATACATTTTGTACACTGATTTTATTATAAAACAACTTAATTTTTCTTTAATTATGATAGTATTCTTCAAAAAAACTTAGCCATTATTATTCAGCTTAGATCTTTCAATCCATCATATCACTAAACTAATAAGTAATCGATGAGAACGGATCACTCTATCTGGCAAAGAATTATGTTGTTGTAAGAAGAAAAAAAAAAGAAAAAAAGATTTCTTTACAAAATCCACCTGTGTTTTCGTTTTATTACTTTAGTGAAATTTAACATTGAACGATTTACTTCACTTCATTCACTACCTAACATATCATTGGTATGTAATAATGTAAAGTGACATTACCTCATGTCATTTCATTTCATTTTAGGTAGTGCATTGTGAAAGGCTTCATCTAAAAAGTCTTCAGGTGAATGGTACCAACCTCAGATATTTATATGCTGATAATAACGGTAAAATTATTATTCCTTTGCATTTTGTCAGCTTTGGAGCTAACTGTTAGTAATGATAAGTAATAGCTGAAAAAGAGTGATACTTTTGAAATTACCATCATCTCTCAACTTGGTGTTTTTTGGAAAAACTCCCATAGTTTAGGATAAATGATAGATAAGTAAACTTACAGGATAGGTGATAATGAATTATCCTGAAATAATTTTATCATTTTCAACATAACAAAACCAAAAGCATTGATAAATTAACGTAATAGTTACTATTATTCAGTCTTTTGCACAATATGTCTTGTCATAAGTCTGAAAAATTCATAAAAATTTCATGATTTATGAAGTTATTGACTGTATGCAGTACAGAAAATGATAAGAAAGAAATGTAAATAGAAAAATATTTGTCCCATATGTTTAGCTTTTGTCCAAGTTATCACGTTACAATTTACGTCATTTACGTTGAAATCTTGTATTCATATATTTTGTTTCATATATTTTATATTAAAACATAAATTAGCGACGGTGTGATATAAAATTATGTAAATTATGTTGCAATGATATTTCAGAATTATCACAAGCAATAATAATGCCAATACCCATTCATCTAGTGGTATTTTCGATCTCATTCAATCGTTTTACTTCATTACCGGAATGGCTAACAGATTTGCAATATATTGAAACAATTTCTGCCCATCATAATCTTATCCTCTATTTACCATATAGGTAATTTGATATTTCAGGAATTTTTTTAAAGAAATTATGAATGAAAGGAAAAGTACAAAAATGAAAAGAAATGAAAAACTGAACGTCTTAATCTGTTCCTTCTGACGTATAGCATCACAATTTTGTTTTTTTGATGACTTCAAAATATTTCAATTAATTTTCAGGATTTTCATGAGTGTAAGTAGATTAAAAAATCTGCATGTAAATAATAACAAAATTGAACGTCTACCAGATGTTATCGAGAATTGTTCATTGGAAGTTTTATCGTTGCACAGTAACTGCATAGACATGTTACCGAATGATTTACTAAAAGCGGCACATAAGTAAGTTTTTTTCTGAACCTGTCTTTTCTGAAGTAAGCTTTTCCGAATTTGTTCTTCCTGAAATAATTCTCTGAATTTGTTTTCTCTGAAATAAGTCTCCTTGAATCTGTTTCATTTGAAATAAATGTTCCCGAACTTATTTTCTCTGAATCTGTTCTTCCTGAAGTAAGTCTCGCTGAATCTACTCTTCCTGAAGTAAACCTATCTGAATTCGTTCTTTTCGAAGTAAGTTTCTCGAGGATATTTCTTGTATGTATGCGTGTTCACGTGTCAGCACTTGATAATAGTAATATATTATTTTATGGGTAAATCCGGTATAGTGTCCAGATTATTCTAGAAACATTCTACTATCCTTGTTTCAGGCTGAAAATTTTGAATGTTTCACATAATCGACTCAAACGGCTTCCAGCTGCAAACACAATGCTTGATCTAAATCGACTTCAATTTCTTCGAGCAGCTAAAAATTTTCTGGATGAGAGTGTAATTAGTGTTATAGTATCCTGTCGACGTTTGCGACTTTTGGATCTTTCTTACAATCAACTCAAATTTTTTGATGACAGGTTACCTTTTTTTGTTTGAAGTATTCAATCATTGCATTAGCTTGACTTCTGATTTTAGTTATTTATATCTGAAATGAACGCTCCATTATTGGCCAATAACTAAAAAAGTAAAGGTCATTTTGGTGAGTCCATCGGTTAAGAAAATCATTGGAAATAAGGAATATCACTGGTACAATGTCCAACTTCTTACATCACCTACTTAGCATCCATTTTTTTTTCTCCTTGACCATTCGATTATACTCCTGTAAGCTCGTATTCATTACTTTTTTACAACAAAGAAACAATTTTTGCTCATTTCATAAACTTTTTCTTAGAAATTTGTAAAAATTGTTTATTTATTTCTTTTTTTTGAAGTTGTTTAAGCCGATTGATGGCGTTGGAAGAATTGAATTTATCAGCGAATCATCTCATTTCGATTTCAACTTCATTGACACAATTACCTAATTTACAAGTTCTTCGGATACATTCGAACGGTATCACGACAATTCCGGATTTCTCACAATCACCACAATTACTTGTACGTCCTCGGTTCATTAGTAATCATTTTGAATTTCTAAATCCCTGAGAATTCCAGCTATTCAGTGCAATAGTTATAACCATAGCTAGTGAACCTTTCAGTATAACCAAGGTCAAACTTTCTGATCTTGGTAATTTCGCCCAACATGTGGAGATTTTATTTATTTCAAATTTCTGGAAAGAAGCTTTGATAATGCTCTTAACATTGATCAATTGTTATTACTGTCTGTACAACAGCAACTGGTGACTTTTTTACAGTTACTGGATATTTCAAACAACGAATTTAGAAATTTGGATACAAATTTATGCATGGCAAAAACCTTAAAACACCTTGATCTCACCTGTAACTACATGTTATACGTTGATACTGATAATATAAAGCCAAAAAAGTAAGTGAAATAAATATAATGCAAAATAGTGAGAGATGCTCTAATCAAGATCTTTATTTTACCACTTTGTCTATTGTTATTTTACGTTTAACGATAATTTACATTATGGTGGAAGATTGGCTGGACTTGACCCTTTACCTTTTATCCTTTGCTCTTTTTCTTCCCTTTTTATTTAAAAAAATATTAAGCAGCATTAACTTCACTGATATCTACAAAGAAAAGAGTATCTCAGACGGAAAGATCCTGTAACAGAATTTAAAATTCTGAATCTTCTATCTTACCTGATATTATTGTTTTTACAGACAAGGTCAAGCCATATCGGTGGTGAATGTTGGCAATGAATGCAACTGTGATACATTTCATATTGGCTTCAGTGAATCAGCCGGACAACGAAATAAGTGAAAATCTTTTCATATATTACTAAAATTTATTTTAACATCTTTCCAAAAGCATTCTGTAGATGAAATGAGGCAAAGTATACAAATGGATCATTTTTGATCAAAAATTTGATTTTCTTCTAATCATTGCCTTCCACTGGTGACTTTCGTTTCGTGGGATTCTTCTTCAACAAAACAATATGTATGTATCTGTATATATATATATATATATATATATATATATATGTGTGTGTGCTGGATAAAAGTTAATTTAACTTTAATTTATTGATGAGACTGTTGGTCCATTATAGCTCATACCTGAATTGTTCAGTTATATGGTTTCTTTCCCAATCTCAGCATTTGATTAAGGACGAGTATAAATAGTGTCAAAATACAAGGGGTCACATATCCAAAAAATGTTGAACAAGTCCAGAAATTAAACCTAATTCAAATCAGCAACAACAGAGTGCATGGTTCCTGGAAACTGATATAAATCAGATCCGGTACACAATTGCTCCATTAATAACTAAATAGTTTGAGCGAAATTATTAGAATACCATTTCCAGATTATGTGTCCGACAAATTCGATCAAATCCAAACATGAAAGCAATTTTTGGTATTGTCGATGGCGGGAATAATGATCAAATTGCAGCAATTGTAATCGAAAAATTAAATAACTTCCTTCAAGCACAGGTAATCCATACAAGATGAATGAATCATCTTGTCCATTCATCTCTCTTCCGTTATCCCACATTCATTAGTTTATTATAAAATCAGATGTCTAAACTTTTATGCGTGAATTATGAGAAAGATGAAGTACTGATTAGAGTAATTCAAATCTCCCCCGAAACCAGCAATTATGGTGTTCGAATATTCTCCTCTAGGATCGATGAATGACATAGTATTTCTTGTCATTCAACTTCTACTCATACTTTGTTATAGACTTTGATAAATGAGCATAGCTTGAAAATGGCTTTAATTTATGCGCACGAACATCTTGGTCAAATTGGTGAACGTCTTGGTGCGACAGCAATGCTTCTTAAAATAGAACAACATCGACTACTTTTCGCAACGGTTGGCGGTATCCGAGCAGTGCTATGTCGTTCTGGAAATGCCTTACAACTACCCAATCAAGCGAATACTATTACACCGGAAGATTATATTCAGCTGCGTACCGGTAACGCAACGCTTAATCAGGTTCCCGAAGATTTTTAATCTATTTCTCCAACTTTTGATGTTTGCATCGTACAAATCAAAGGAAACCATCAGTTAGTATGTGTTTCATAACTTTTATTTCTTTTTCTTCTGGTGACTTAATATATTTTTGGAGTAAAAATGAAGACCTTTTCACTTCAGGATAATTTAATCAATGGAATATGTCTGTCAGCAAGTTCACTTGGATTTTCATTTCTTTACCCAGCCGTTCTCCCGAAATCATATCAGGTTTGCGGAAAAAGTTTATCGGGAAATGGATAAAGAATAATTTCTTCTATTTTATGTTTTCCATTCTATCGTTAATTGGGTGATATGAAAATACCAATGGGAAACACAGTAACAATTTACTACATGTGACTTCCTAATTAATGATAAAATGGCATGCGAAAAAGTTGGTAAGCAAACATTAAACGATTCCATTTCTTAGATAGAAAATAAAAAACTCTTATTAGAATAAAATCCATTAATTCTAGGATACGGTGGAACTTACGCAAGCTGATGAGTTCGTCGTAATTGGTTCACGAGCATTCTGGAATTGTATTTCTCCTCAGGAAGCCGTGGATAGTATTCGGTCTACGCATAATCCACAAATTGCAGCGAAAAAGTTGCAGGTCAGAAAAGATTTGTTTCTTAAAAATTGTTAACATCGAAAAAAGTAAGCACTATGAAATAAGCTTGAATATTTTCATCTCTTTAAGTTTACTTTTAAAAACTAATAACAAACAGAGATGTGAACTGTTCCCTTTCAAAAAAGTTACAATTGTGAAAATGTTATAAAATGCAATGCAAAACGATGTGACTAAAAGCACAAATGTGGAATAAAGATAAGGTAAAACTTTTCCAAGAAGAATCTTTCTCTTAAAATTATGAAGATATGTTGATAAAATAGTAATTTATTACCATTCATTATTGAATAATTAGTTTTTTCGTCTTCTCAACTTAATTTCCATTTGTTGCGTTTTCATTGCAGGATATAGTGCAAGCATTTGAATATGTTGGCAATGTGAGTATTATTGTTGTTCGATTTAAACGACCTCAAGAAGAATGCAATTATCGAAATAGGAATCCAGAAGGAACGTCTATAATGAACAAACCCACTTGTCCAAGTAACTTTATACACGGATATATAACAATTGAATAGTCGTACAACATTGGCAAAGTGAACAAAGGATCAGTTTTTTTAAGATCGAGAATTAACCATTTGTGTGTATGTCTGAAATTTAATTTTTGAAATTGGTTCAGAAAATGGCATCAATTTATTGCGTAATATAGAAGAACGACTGGAGCAAATCAGCGAAGCAATAAATAACATTGATGAGGATTCAAACAACAACTGTCCTCTATCATATGGTCTTCAGTTATGGGGTAAAAAAGGAAGCTTCAATACATTCGAACTAATGTCGAATAACATTGACAGGTGCGAATGATAAATTTGTGGACACCAAATTTTTGAACTATCGTAATTGTAGCTTGCGTAAGGGATCATTTCAAATACCTTCTTTCAAAATGAAAAAAAAAAAGCTCATAGTTTGAAAAAGATTCCATTAGCTCAAATCTTTGATCGACAAAAAAAAATTAATCTTGAAAATCTTTGGGACTAATCTTTGAAACCAATCTTATCCTCAAAAAAAAAAGGTAACAATCAAGGTTTTGTGCAAAAACTCATGACTGGAAGTATAAGTCTGAAGGTTAAAATCCTTTACAGTATCACTCATCGGAAATGTTATTTACATAGTATATATTTTTCAATAGCTGGCCATCTGGAAGTAGTACTGTATCGAAACATAGCATTTCACGAGGTGCATCGCCTTCCAGTGCACCACCGGATCCGCACAGTGATCAAGCAACAACTGATCGATTTTCGATCCGTAAAAAAATCGATATGTACGATCGCCTCAGTGCTGCAACGATTGTCGATAGCAAAGAACGCTTTCAACGTGCCAGATCAACTCTTAGTGAACAGCTTCGGTTACGAACTCCGGATGGGAAAATCATGAAGTTATATAACGTGTAACAGATTGTACAACCATGAAGATGTGTAGAAATGTGAAATATGTCATGTAGAGATGTGTTCAACAATATGCTGTAATTAATCAATTAAAACATGAAAATATATGTGAATTGTAGCAATCATAAAAAACCACGAAAACTAAAAAACACTTCACTGATCTGGAGAGTTTGATGTTACACCCAAAAGGGATATTGAGTTTCGTAGCGTGGATGTGATGAGGCCGCTATAGTATGAGAGAGAAGAAAGGCTAGGATTAGTCGGCGATATGCTTGTTATGAGAACGGAGCGAAAGAAAGCGATCGGGACATAGGCCACAGGGAATAAATCGCATGGCCATTAATAAATGGATTAAATAACTGGCATTTTATGTCATGTTATCCTATTGATATGCTTTTGGCTATTTGTCTCATTCACCCAACCGCTTTGGATTGTCCATTTTATTCATTTCACTATTTCGATTTCTCATTTCACTTCACTGGATCATTCTTTTATTCATTTCATCTTTTCTGAATCATACTTGTATTTCATTTTCACCGTTCCGGATTACCATCTTTTCCGAACGCTTCCCATATTGAATGGAAGCATTGCTCAACATATGAAGAAAAGATGGATTTGTTCAAAGGCAACGTAATGTAAGCATACACTTCATTTTATAGATGCAATTTAGAAAATTTAATTTAAGAAAATTTTGCTTTTGCTGTCTGTCATCTCCAGCATTTGATACTAAAGAGAGAATGAGAGGATGAGAAAGGAGATAGAATGTGCCTACTGCGCTCCTCATTTTTGATTGAGATAAGCAAGACTTCTCAACATTCTTATATTCTTCACTTTTTCTTGAATATTATTACTACATATGTCTGCAAAAATGTCATCATTCTACTCCTACATGAAAGCTCAGATATAAGTATTTCTCAGGAAAACCGATTCTGTTGTTGATTAAATTGTTAGAATATAATAGTTTAGTTTTTTTGTGAAATTTATCAGAACATTCTTAAGTTAGATGATTTATACAGAGTGGGTTAGCATTATTGACATATGTAACCGATTCATTTCCTGAAGATTGTCTTGATTACTGGAGAGATGGATTGCAGCCTTACGGCTTATTTACGCTTGATCAAAATGCTTATTGTTGTCTTTACGGATTAGTTATCGATGCTAGATTAGTGAGTGGATTGAAGAGGATAGTTATGTCAAGAATTAAAAACTATTTTCTACTAAATTTAAAATCATGTAAAGTATTCTTTTCGAGAATGAGGAACTACTCAAGATTGCTATGAAATATTCATTTTTATGAATCATTGATTATGTTCCATTACATATTGTATTTTCCGCATGTGTGTATGTATTACATGTTGTATTTATGTGAACCGTTCAAGTATGGTCTTAATTGCTAGAACGCTTATTTACGTTTGACCGAAATGTTTATTATTAAGTTTTAATCTTTCTTAAATTATCTAAACAAATTGTGGTTTAGGTGTATTATTTTTACTTTGTTTGAGTCACATTCAAATTTACAAGCTATAAATGTTTTAGTAAACTGTTTTGTTGATTGCATGTCCATTTAATTTCTGAGTGTACTTATTTGTATATGACAAGAAGTAGTAACATCGTCACTTCATGTGAAAAGTTTTGAAAGACGTAAAGTATTTGCAGCGTCACACAGTGTACTACTTTTTTGAAAATGTTGTTTCTTCTCTCTCGGTGTTAAACAACGTTACATGCATTCCTTCAGCGGTAGCAGAGTTGAGTAGTTTTATTTCTAACTCGAAAAAAACTTATCAAATTAAGTGATGGTTGACTTTCCAATAGATAGCACAAGCAATGATGAAAAATTTTCCTTCCATCTAATCCAATTATGTTTGTCAAAGGACGCAATTTTCATTTGTAATTTGACGGATTTTCGAACTTTCGAAGAATAAAACGAGAACTCATTTTTAGATCTTTTTATTATTTGAGCTCTTTTTTGATCAGTTTGTAAATTTAACTTTTCTCAAAATAAAGAATATGGTTAAAAGGTACTTGTGATACAGATAATTACAGTTTTTCTTTAATCGGTTAATATCTTTTCATTTTAATGCTATACATTATCCTTAATTTTTGACTCAGCTACTTCAGAGCATATTCCTCACATCTACGACCAGTTAGTTACTTTTAGTGTTTAATTCCTGAGCACTGAACATACCGTGCAAAATGGTTGTTGAGTATTCCTTGGATGGGACAACTGCGAATCACTTTCCAAGCTATAAATTCGATTTGCTGTGTAATTTGATATTTCCTTTCATTTTTTTTTCTTTTTTTACTGGAGGCTTTGACTGAAAATTAAATTTTAAGTGGATTCGCAAAAAATGGATCGAAAAGACTATACATAAAGGCAAGGAAGAGAGGAAAAAATGAGGGATTAGTAAGTGCTATATTCAAACACTACTTGTCATCAACAATCCAAGCTAGGTAATATCCAGTACTTAATCGCATCACATGAGGACTACAATGTTAATCCGGATTTATTTTAATTTATCCTGATAAATGACCAAAAGGTAGTCTTGAGAATTCTGCTAGGTTGATCGATTTGTACTTTTCCATCCTTTATCTCTTTATTTACAACTGTGTCAAAATTTGAGAAGGACTGAAAATGAAATGGAAAAACTGTTGCGATTGAAAGCCAGGAAAACATTAAACAGTGAAATTTCTATTAATCGAACCAGTTCTCTGAAAAATTACCATTTTTCTATATTGCTGAGTGTTTGTTCTTTTTTTTTTTTCGGAATATGATGTTGAAATGAAAATAGTCAAGTAATAATTCGTGCAATCTATTCTTCCTGCTTTGGACGATTTGTACTTTTCTTTCCCTCAAATTATTCCATTGTATATTGCTTTTTTTTTAACTTTTTCTTGCGTGAAGATTTATAAAAAACTTAGTTTTTTTCGTCTGAAATTTGCCAATTTTTGTTTTACTTTTTTTTAAATCTAAAATAAAATCTGTAAAAAAAATAGCGCAGGGAAAATATCTGAAAATGTAATTTTCCTTTTGAATACATTACCCTTTTGTCTGATTTGTTATGGAACTCTTTAAATTATATAACTTTTATAAAAGGTAGGATCATAAGGGGTTTTTTATAAGCTGAATGGAAAACCGGAAGAGAGTGGCGAGATTTTCGGATCGTTAGGCTACTATTTATGCTACTAATTTGGTCAAATGGTTCGACTCTTAGTGAAAATTAAAGTGAAGATTCCTTCATTACTTCATTTCATCCTATTGTCTCGTCTTTATTTTTTTCTTTATCCGATTGAAAATCTCCTTAATGAGTGTTATATCTAGTTCTGGCTGCAATTCTTAGAGCACCTGATAGATCAAGCTTGGGACATGCATTAAGATTACCTTATAGTATCTGATAGGCCATTTATGGGAATGCAATAGTTCATGTTGATGAAAAATTACAACAAAAAAATTTTTTCTCAGCCACCAAAAGCATTATGTGTGATGAAAACATCATTTCTATTGGAGCAACTGATATACACACTCTTTACTACGGGGTTTTCTACTCTTCAGCAATATCTGGAATGGGAGAGGAGGGGACAAGAAAAGGGGAACGACAATGACTTAATTTAGTAATTAATAAGCTAAAAATAAACTGGAAAAGGTAAGTTTTGTGAATATGCACGAGAAGGAAAGCACTGAATGCTATAATTGAATTGTCAAGCTAAAAGTTCCTGAACAACTGATCTAACCGTTAAACCCTTTCTGATTTAACATTTCTTTCGATTATTGCTGGAAGTGTGCATGCTATATAAATACGGCTTTTCTAAAGCGCTTATTTTGACTGGTTCGAAATGCAAAATTTTTAAAGATTAAATGTGAAAGATGAAAGAACTCATTCCTGAAAATTAACTTTAGAGTGACAATTTTAAAAAAGTCACTTCTTTCACTAAATAGCATCAGAAGATGATTGTAATTAATATAATTAATTGACGGATCTCAAATTTAGGATTACCTTTTGGAGCATAAAGTATAACTCTGTCATAAATACCATTCATTCCTGAAAACAATTATAACAATAATTATTTCACTAGAAATAAACTTCTTCCCAGTTAAATAAGAACAAGAAATGAATGAGTTATTGATGTGAAACTGGTAACAGCCATGATATCCCAGTGTAGTGTGATGGAGAAGGTAAGGTAAGCGGGGGAGAGAGGTTCTCAGAAAAACAAAGCATAAATAATCATCATTCGATGCTACTACTAGCAGCAGTAGTAGTAGTAGTAGCAGCAGCAGCAGCACTGACTTACAAATTTCCCATCGCATCGTACCCACCTATCTTCATCCTCCCCCCCCCCCCCCCGCCCCGTACTCTCCGTATCCCCCCATCACTCTCATTCCGACATCAGTATTTAGGGGTTCATTTTTTCTTTTTCCTTTCTTTTTTTTTCTGTAAAGTAAATTGGCCAATCGCCGTACATATATGAGGCATATAGGCCAACACGCTAACACTCACACACATACATCTTTTAGCTGATTGATTCTCTTTTGGAAGCCTTGAACTTGCCACTCTACACTTGGCCATATATGTTTATGTATGGGACATTTATTTCTCTTCCTAATCATTCTTTCATTTCTTTGATTTTTAATTGGTTTTCAATCTTATCTAATTACTCCTTCAATAATTCATACAATCTGTTGCATGTTGTTTCTCTTCCCGAGTACTCTTTACTGTTGTTTGATAGTAAAAGTAAAATGGAATATTTGGATAAAAAAAACTTAATTGAATGAGTAATTAAATATGAATAATTAAGTGTTGTTTTCGAGAAGATGAAGATTGAGTTAAGGGGGAAGTATTATGATATTTGAAAAAAGAAAAGCGGAAATAATGTTCAGTTTCCACAAAGAAATGAACAGCTGAAAAGGATCAGTGAAGCGGGATAGGAATATCTTAGAAAGATTTTTTTTTAAATTATCGATTTGGAAAAGTAAAAGGAAAAAAATCTAATTAAATGTTCTGTTGTTTTTCAAGAAAACGAGGGTTGAATTATTAAGGGGAGCTAAGTATTATGATATTTGAAAAATGAAAAGCAGAAATAATGTTCAGTTTCCACAAAGAACTGAACAGCTGAAAAGGATCAATGAAGTTGATATTTGAAAAAAGAAAAGGGGAAATAATATTTGCTTTCCGACCTAATCTATGATGTACAGGATATGGGCATCTACAGGATTCATTCCGTATATTCCTTCAGGTTAATCAATTTTCCTTCTTCAAAAAAAAGTACTTTAGGAAATTGTGATACATTTAATGTAACCTGACAATATAACAATATTTGTAAACATTGATGATGATTTTATGACTAATATATTGGAAAGAGTTAAAAGAAACAGCAAAATGTTATATTATTGCAAAAGGAAATTAATGAGAAAATATTATGAATATATACTCATCAAAAATATATGAAAATGTTCGAGAAATTCAGTAAATCTTAGAAGAGTAATATTATTTCATCATCTTATCTAACCCAACTGTGTCGCATATGTTGTCCAAAGAATTGTTTATTAATGTTCATCTATCACTTCCTCATTTAGGCTCATTTGAATGTTAGTAAATCTGATTCTACTAAATATGGTATGACTTGCAAGCATTAGCTATCTGCTATGTAATCCATTGAATTTTTCTCTTTGCTTTAACTTTTCATCCATTTATACGCTAATGTTTTCTCCAAAAATGCTTCATTTTACTTCTTCCCTACATTTTTCTCCCATTTTTAACGATCAAGTAGATTTATAGTTCCTAAGGGAAAACATTCGATGCCACAAGTATTGGTTCTTTTATTCATCCTACCTTTTGTCATCAACTTTTTAGTTCAAAAGTCATTTCCTCACTTCTTCATCTTTGAATTCTCCTTTCTTTATAGTGCAAAAAGGTGCAGTATGAATTGGTAAGGAACAGATCGGATCTTTTTTATCATTTGGCATAATTCTCTCTCTCTCTCTCTCTCTTTTCCTCCACTACTACATTTTCAATTCTGCTATTATATTTTAAAAAGAAATTCCATTTACTCATTGTTTTAATTCTTTTTTTCATATTTTTAATCTGTAACTTCAACTGATATCATAAACTGTGAAATTTATTTCCTCATATTCTTGTATAATATTACATTGGAATACTTATCAGATCTCGATATACATCTGTTAAATACCATATTAGCTTATTTTACAATAAATTGAAACTAGTAGATGATAAAGTTGTGAAAAGATCATTCATAATAAGGAGAAGATGAGAACTTTTTTGTTTATTGAAATTTCACTCTTTTTTGATTATATCTGTTCAAGTTATAAGCTTTGTTTAGAATCTTTCAGGTTTTTTTTTATGACTATTTGAAATCTTTCAGAATGATTGATTTTCACAACTGTAACTTTTCACATTTCCCGTATATTTTTTGTGAGAAATCAACTCCATCAACTGCATTATTTTGCTGGAAAAATAACCTGACAGTGATCTTTGGACCAATGTACAATAAAAGTTGGAGGAGTAAGATGAATACCTGGATTTTGCTATCGAAAATGATGAGGTTTACTTCTGCTGGATGGTTGTATCACATTGATAAGCATTTGTTAAATGATAAGAGATGTCTGAAAAATTACAGAAAGAAGAGGACTGTCGTAGAGCAGTGTGATAATCATATCGGGATAGTGTGAAGAGTTCTAGCAGTACGAATCTTATTATAAGAAAAGCTTGAAAGAAACAAGTAGTCGTTTCGTATATCTCAAAAAATTCCAGAATTGCAGAAAGATTGACGGGAAGGAAAAAATGAAAAAGAAGGAGAAGAAAGAGTGATGATTAAACTTTTTTAGTAATTTAGATAAGTTGAGATGATAAGTTTTTGATGAAAATTCAATAAATTTCAGTTTAAAAAAAAATTACTGAATTAAAATAATTTGATTCAAAACTAAAATAAGATAGAAATGACCTTTCAGTAGGTAGTTATTGAACATTTGAAACATTTCTGAAGGAAGCATCATAATCGATCGAACAATAGAATAGAAAGTGCCAATATCTTGTATTTAAAAGAGGGTTTTTTCTTGGAGCTATATGTTTCATTTTTTTTTTTCTTTTGCTTTAAATGCAAATTTACTGCTTAAATAACGAGAAAGTACCAAAATCATCGATTGGAAGCGTTATATTTCCAGCATATATGTAATGATTCTTCTTAAGATTCAGAAAAGTATGTACTTACCGGCTTTTTTTTTATGTCCAAATTTTAGTGCTTCTTGTCTAATCGAGAAATGATGCATTGTTATTCCATGGAATAACAAAAAAAAACATTGCTTCTAAACGACTTTTTTTTTTTTGATTTTTAATGAAACTTATGAAACAATACATATACTTTTTCACGTCTTCAGGATGTTTCAAATATCAAATGATTCTGATTACTCCACGTTGAATCCTTCAACTTCTTGTATAGTTATAGGAATATCAGCTTTGATGATTACTTTCAGTTGTTCATTCTCATTTTTCCATTAATCGGCCATAGCACTTCGCATCTTCACGACTCTTTTTCGCTTCTATTGCAAAATTACTTAGTCCAATACTTCAATTTCATCATGATAATTCTTGGCCAAATTCTACCGTTTGCTTTTTATAATCATTTAAATTGAGCATATTTAATAGATCATTCCAGTCTGATTTCTTCATTAATATCATTTTCATTATGCAAAATAATTGTCAAACAAATAATATTCATATTGCTAGCATAAATGAAAACGAAAAGCATAAAATATTGAAAATGCCATACGGTATAACTAACTCTCTTAAAAGTTTATTCCCATAAGTTGAACAGTGCAGAAAGCATGTATACTTCTTTACTAGCTAATTTGATAGTTGCGAAAGTTCAAAAGAGAACCATCTCTTAAGAACATCTTTTTTTAAATTGTTGACAACTATTCGAATGTAATTGTATTGTGATCGTTGAAATTCTATCTTCTATTCCTCACAAAAATAACTCCTTTCTATTTCAGGTTATCCAGTAATACTGTTATTCTATATTATAACTACTTATGGTTATACTGTAAAGAACAGTTCATTAGCAACGGGTGAAAGCAACATCTAGTGGTACTATAATTAATCATAAGATATTTCATCCATCATTTTTTTTTTTTTNTTTTTTGAGGAAAAACAAAGAAGAGATGAGTACAGGTTGATTGTTTGGATAGCAAATCGATGTATTGGAAATTGGCCTAGTGAGAATTACTGCGGAAAGGATTCTTTCTTTTTTTTTCTTTTGAAAAGCAAATAAGAGGAAGAATTAATCCTCCAGGGGAAGAACGAAAAGGATGCTGAACGATGAGGAAGATGAGAATATGGTTGATGAAGCAGTTAGTATGTTAGCAGCAGCTGAAGAAGAACATGCTAATGGAGCTGAAGATAATGCTGGTAGTAGCGGTTCGCAAACACCAATCGCAAATGGTTCAAGTAGCGGTCATCATCCCACTACTGATATGGTATCTTTTAATCTAAACTTAGATTGGTTGATCAGGAAGGGTTGATCTTCCCTTTTTTTTTTAACTTTTGAATAAATGATTATAATTGGAAGATGGGAAAGCATGTTGTTCGTTATGCGATACTTCAATATCAATGAATCATTGCTAATTTTTCATATGTTATCATAGATTATCCATTGAAAGAGAGAGAATATTACATTTTTCTTATAAATGATGAGTGTGAATGGACTTTAGAATTCTCCTTCTTTTATTTTTCAATTATATATGAACATACAGACGCATGGTCATTCTTCCATAAGTCCACCATATGCATCATTCTTCGATCGAATTTCCAACAGATGGTGGAATCCACAGTTTTCATCAGTAGCCCTAGAAACGCAATATTGGAAATGCAGCTTTCCGCAACTCAGAGATAGGTTCAGGTTAGTTATTCCGTTTTTCTCTTTTTTCCTGAAAATATTTGCTGTTTTTAAGTTTAGAGTCTTTTTTTTTATTTCTTTTTATAATACACTGGTTAAATATATTTCTGTGAGTTTTAAAATTTATCTTCAATTTCGTTGTTGCTGTTATTTCTGCGCTAAGCATATAGCAAAGGATCAAGATATTTTAGATCTGGACTTGTATACATTTGTTTATCATGCATTTTATGGATTGTTTATTTGCAAGTTTTCAATCATGCTAGCTTAGTACATTGGGTCAGTTACTTCTCTAAAAGTTTCATCTTTTTTTTGTACTAACGCAATTAATGGCCTCAGAGTCTGTGGCATTGTGGTCATAATTTTCCACATTCTAACCACTTATCATTAAACAAAGTGGTTTATTGGTGGATCTGGACCTAGTGTCCTTATCTTGCAGACACATCAGGCATACAGTTGTGCTAGGATAAAAAACATGCTGTACTGAATGACCGGACAGATACTAGTGAAGCGAATGTTAATTCAGCACTTACTTGGGATGTTGTGCAGATGCACACCACTTTTACAACAGTTTGGTAATATTAATTTTATAAATCTCGTAATTTTTATTTCAGCTAATATCGATCATTTTGTTTATAATATCATTCGGAATGTTTCTTTTCACGTTATTTACCGTATATTACCAACGTTTTTACATGCTAGCATCATTTCTCTGTGTTTTTATACTTTGTACTGTAACTCTACTTATCTTCTCCGATAAATCCGGTTCTTTTATGAGTCCTATTGGTGATTTAGCCACCAGTTTTCAGGTAACTTTTTCTAGTTTATATTTAAACTTATCCCAAATATTTTTGATTTTCTGGTTCTTGAAGTTCAATGATTTTGTAATGTAGAGGGTTCAGAGTTCTTACCGCATGTTGCTAAACAAATAATTTTAGTCTCTTCTCTCATTTTCATTAGTTCGCTGTTTTATTTATTCAGGTAGTACTATTAATCTACACAGTATTTCCATTACCGCTGTATTTGTGCATGTGCATTGGCTTAATCTATTCGATATTGTTCGAAATGATCGCTACCGGTAGTATGAGTTATGCGGATACGCCGGGTGTTAAACTTATTCTCCATTTTGGTATCAATCTCCTTGGCGTTCATCTTTTTATTTTGACACAGGGTAGGTAACTTATTCTTCATCGGTATCCTTACTCAAGTAATTGTGATTTCTTTATTTATATTGGTCGGTATGAATCCGGATTTTATGAATTCATTCAAAGTACGAACTGCGTAAAATCATTGAAATTAAAAGCCTGATCTCGATTTTAGAACGAGAAGTTTTGTATTTTCCAGTTCGTCAGCGGAAAACGTTTTTAAGAGTAGGACAGTCGTTACTTGCACGTAAAGATCTAGAAATGGAAATGCAATTGAAAGATCATATGATACAGTCTGTTATGCCAAAAAAGGTTTGCTTTTTGATCAAGATTTTGCTTTTTTTATTTATTCTTTTTAGTTTTATGTGTGACAGAAATTCATAACAGAAAATATGACAGTGATGCTCTTGTTATGTTAACCGCATGGCTTGAAGCACTATATCTTTCTCTGTATTAGCATTTCCGTTTTCATTTTCGATTTTAACATTTTGATATTTTGATTTTGGACTTTCTGATTTTTTTCTCTTTTAATTTTAATTTTGCCCGATATTTCATGGCAGCTGAAATTGGTATAGTTTTAAGGTTGCTAATGAATTGTTAAAAGAGACCAGTGTAAGAAGATCATCGGCTAGTCAGGATGCATATTTACGTACGACAGGAAGTGAGAGCGCGAAAAGTCACCTTCAAGATACCCGTGAAGCGAATGCATCAACAGGGACGTTGCTGGCACCAAATGTCCGGAAATTTCGACCATTTACGATGAATTTGATGACCAATGTTTCTATTCTTTTTGCCGATATTGCTGGTAAATGGTTTCATTTCCTCTGTTTATTCAACGTGATACTGCTGGAATCACTTTCTGACTTGCGCTGAAAGAAAGAAATTACCATGGAAAGAATTTCATCTTTACCTTACGAAGCAGTTTGCAGGAAAAAGCACACACTTCTTTCTAGAACTCTGCCGAATTCATTAGCTTTGAAATTATATAATTGTTAGCATATATCTAATCTTAATTCACTTTTTTGAAATTTTTAAGCCATTTTTATCCCTGTCGTTCAGGCTTCACGAAGATGTCTTCAAATAAGTCAGCTGGTGAACTGGTAAATTTGCTCAATGATTTATTTGGACGCTTTGACTATTTATGCGGTCTGTGCAATCTCGAAAAAATCAGTACATTAGGTTGTTTGTGCTTATATATTACTGTTCGATTTTCTGAGCTGTATCATTTCAAATCTTTCAAATACCATTGATTTGATTAAGCTGCATGATTACTGACCACTGTTTGCGTAATTATGTGATCATAGATGGGAGCTTGCATGAAATAAGTTTTAATAATTTCAGGTGATTGTTACTATTGTGTGGCAGGCTGCCCCGAGCCACGAGCTGACCATGCCCGTTGCTGTGTTGAAATGGGTCTTTCAATGATCCTTGCCATCCAGCAGTTTGACGAAGATCGTGGTCAAGATGTTAATATGCGTGTTGGTATACATACCGGGAAGGTGGGCATACGTTTAATTTTTTTGAGCTTTTAATTTAAAAAGCAAATCATTTTTCATGCATTCGTGGTTTATTTTGAATTTGTTCACTTAATTGCGTTCTTAATTAGTCAGTTTTTATTATTTTTGTACCTTTTTTTTGATAAGTTTTACTTCCAAATCCGGAACTTATCTCTTCTCAAAACAATACTGTTTTTGCTACCTTTCGTGGTAAAACTTCCTTGTGGTTATAAACTTATAAACTATAAACTTTTAAAAACTGTGTTTTGGTCACATTCTAAAAAATTATAATAGTGCTTTTCGAATCAGTGTGAAAGTCTTAAAAGTATTTATTAGTCCTTTCATCAGTTCATAATTTTGAAATATGTTTCAAGGAAATGTTGATGAATCTTTGAAGTTTCAATGTTTCTAATTTTTTGCTACCTCTACTTTTTAGATTAACTTACTTTAAGGTTTTATGTGGTATGGTAGGTATGAAACGATTCAAATTTGATGTTTTTCAAATGATGTAACACTCGCGAATGAAATGGAATCAACAGGGATAGCTGGACGTATACATATTTCAGAAATTACTGCAAAATTTTTAAATAATGAATATGTTCTAGAAAATGGACCTGATTATGCTGGTATCTTTCATTTTTCTTATCATGTATAATTATATATATATACATATACATATATATATATATATATATATATAATATGTAATTTTTTGCGAAATCATCACTTTAACTTTTTTGGCAAGGTTTTTAAAATAATGCAGGTGAACTACAAGTCTTCATGAAACTGTCGGAACTTTCCACTGTTACTTTTGTGGAAGAATCAGAAAAAGTGGGGGCAGCCCTGTGTTTCCTGAGTCAAAAGTCATGGAATTAAATAAACTCATGCTTCTTTCCTACTTCTTTAAGAAAGGGAAAAAAGGTCAGTTGTGGGTCTCGTGGAATGAATGTTAGCTTCATGTGGTTTGAAAAAAAGATGTTTCAAGTTTCATCATTTAAGGATAAAAATTAAAGGTAGTATTAAATCAAAATTTGTTTCTTAACTTGGGATCAGTTGCTATTTGTTGACCTCAACTTTAGTGACAATAAATGGGAACTGAAACTGCTCGTATATTTCATGATATTTGTTCTTTTGAAAATGAAAAGAAATTCAACCGATAAAGCTACTGCTTATGCTTTTGATTATTAGGATGTTAATAAGAGAGGGATTTTTATAAGCCGAGATTTTCTTGGAAAAATGGTGCTAGCAAATAATGTTTCTTGAGACTAAAAAATTTTCGACTGGTCGACTAATAGCAGTAGTTGTTGGCTTGTGTAAATGAATGGAATGAATGGGAGGAGTGTTAGGAAATTTTTAATCGATTTTGAAGTGCAAAAATTGCCTTAGATGAATTGATTAGTAAGAGGTGGATAGGAGAGAGAGAGAGAGAGGACAGAATCACTCGAAAGAATCAAAATCAAAACGGCATATCTCAGTTGCACTTCGGAAAAGACGAAAATAAAATTTGCTCTTTGTTAATGGCGAGTAATCAATCAAATACATAAAAATGAAACAGTTAGTAGAAAAGAAAAGTCGTCTTATTTATTCCCGCGAGTTATGAGGTAACTGGCAGGAATAGAGAGACGACTTTGCAGTCCCAATTACTTCGTAATTTGCTGAGGTTGACAAGGTACTCAACCTCTTTTGTTTGATTATGGTATGCAATGCAAAAATATCAAAAGAGAGAAAAAAAAGTGATGAACTGAAGAACATTCAAATTTCCGAGAGTTTCTAGATGAAATAAAATGAAAACTAAATTTGAGAAGATTCAAAAATTTGAAAGTTTCGGGAGAAAATAAATTGGAAACTGAATTTGAAACGTTGTAAAAACCACCATTTTATGATTGGGATATTTTCTACATTATTTTTCAGGTATGAAAACTTATTTTATTGCCGGTCGTGTACAGGATACATACAATCCAATCAACAAAACGACTTCCTATTCTAATTTAATACGTGAAACCCTTTCAGCAGGATCTCAAATAAATTGTTCCCAGATGAGCTTCCGAAAGGTTTTTGTTTGCAGTTACTGTCTTGCGGGAGATTTTTTTCTGCCTTTCGAAAATTCATTTTGCAACCTTTGAATCTTTCGCATCAGTTTTGCCGTTTCTGGATACTAAGTGAACTTCCGACCAATTTTTGTTAAGGTTAAAGAAAGTCAAATATAGCAGAACGTCGGACTGAAGAAAACCTTTAGAGCAGAAATTTTTTCAATTTTGACACTGAAAATTTCAAATTAAAAATTTTAAATTCCATTCATTTCCATATATATATATATATATATATATATATATATATATATATATATATATATATATATATATATATATATATATATATATATATATATATATATATAT